GGTTTGCTAGGAAAATGGGGCTCTGAGTATTTTTTATTAAAATTTTAATTTTTATTGCATTTTAATGTTTGATAATGTTAAATTAAAATGCAATAAAAATTAAAATTTTTATAAAAAATGCTCAGAGCCCCATTTTTCTAGCAAACCTCCTATATGATCTTACTGAACTAAGATTTTCTGCTTCCTATTAAACATAAAAATAAAAATACTTAAGATAGAATCTGGGTGATAATAAACCTTTCTATGAAGATTAAATTCATATTATACACTATATACTGATTGTAAGATGTAACCAATAAATACATTTAAATAAATGCACTTGATATTTTTATTACTATATACTTATATCTATCTTTAAAGGATTTAGTATGAAAAAGAAGACCAATTTAATGAAAAAGTAGATATATTAACTAAAATGCATTGGATTTTTAACCTTACATTTTTGATATTAATAACCAATATCATCCAATATATTACTTCAATCAAATGGTTATTGATTTACCTATTAGAATATTTATTAAAGAAATTATACAGTCAACTCATTTAGTTTTATTTTTGAATCTTAATATAAACCTTAAATATTGTTCAATAAATATTAATTGGAATATTACGACATACTGTATTTCAGATAATTTTGCTTTTTTAGAAACTACATATAAAGCCTCTACAATTAAGAAAAAGAAGATTTAACAAATTTTAAAAATGCTTTCCACTATCAAAGTTTTCAAAAAATAACATTCCTTTCTTTTAAATGACTTCTGATATTATTTTTATTGCAATATAGAGTTGAAAGACTTTGATCATATTTGGATCAATTCAATGATTTAATATAAAATGTCTAATATTATAAAATCATAATTACATTTAATCAATCTCCTTCAATTAGATAGTAATAGAAAAAACATTAATCAACTAAATATCTGGTCACTATATTCACATTCACTTTCATTTTCAGATCTAATCAAAGAGATAATGGAAGCAGTCAGTAAAAAAAGAGGAAATCCAAAATTTTTGTTAATTTTTATTATTAAGCCAAATTTGTACACATGATCGAGATTAGCTAAGTAGTCTAATAATATAAATTTTGACCAAAATTTAAATTTCACCTTTTCTACTGATTACCTTCCATATTTTGAATCTTTTTAATTTAATTAATTTAACGCTCATATCAAAAGTATTTACTATATCAGCTGTATCTATCTTTATGCATTTTGTATTTAAACAATCACAAACTATTTAAATAGATCAATGCTTTATATTCAAAGACTTTAAAAAGTCATATGATATTACAGATCCTATTAAAAGATCTCTCACAGAAGCTTCTGAATATCAGTTCTTTATAACTCATAATAGTTTTATTTCTTCTAATTTAATTACTAATATGATTCATTTAGGATCTTATTAGTTAAATTTTTAATACAATATAAGCTAAGTCTATTTCTATCTTCTGGTTAGTTACTAGAAGGTAATAATGTTGTAAATTATTTATGACTAATTCTAAAGAAGTGTAGGATAGTTTTGATTTATTTTAGTATTTATATTATTTTATATAGAGATTTTTATAATTTATAATTTATGTATTTTTATAATATTTTTAATAAAAAATTTGTGAAAAAATTTGTGAAACTATTATACTTTAAAAAAAAAATTAATAAGATGATACTTTAATTTTATATATATCATTTTTTATAATAATAATTTTACAAATATCAAATTATCTTAAAAATAATAAAACTATAAAATATCTAAAATTTTGCTATTAATTCTGTCTTACAAAAATATTATTAATTCCACTTGAAATTTTGCTATTAAATCTACTTTCTAAAACATTTTTATATGTGTTGATTATTTGTCAATTATTACTAAAATTTATATCGATTATTTCTAGTATTAGGTATTTATTTAATTGAACATATAAACATATATATATTTAATTAAACATTATATATATCCAAATTTAACACAATCATTTCTATAAATCTAATTTAGAATTTGATTGATTATACAGAAATCTAAGTATTTTTACTAGTTTAATTACTTGTTTTATTAATAAACTAATAACTTTTAAATACTTAATCATTTAATATACTATAATATATATATTAAAAATCCCAATTTTTATTAAAAGATTTCTGTAATCCATTTTTAATAACACAGTATATATTTAAGTATAATTATCAAATTTAATTAACTATTTTAGAAATAGATTAATATTTTATCATATGACTGCAAAATATTTTAAAATTCATTTGTGATAGTATGATTTTAAATTTATTATATTAATTTTATTATTATCCCAAATAATACTGAAAAAGGTAAGAGAAGAGAATGCATTGAAACAGCTAAAAATAATCATGTAAAATTTTCCTTTTTTAGATAATTTTTGATTATTTTGACTAGATATTTATTACCTTTTATAGTAATTGATGAATTATTATAATTTTGACTCTGAAAAATTATGTATAACTAAAAATTTTTTTTTTTGGTTGGATCTTATATTTTTGACATCCTATCTTATTTATTATACATATTAAATAGGATATATTTATTTCTTATTAATTATTTTATATTAATACTCTTTTATTTTATTCTGAAAAATAGCAGAATCATTACAAATCACTAATAAAATAACATTTATTTCTTAAACTTAAACTTTGTTTATTTATAATTCATTCTTTAAATTTATATTAATAAAAATAATTTGCTCCTTCAATATATTTAATTTATATTTATTCTTTTCATAGTTTATATGTAATTATACTTCTTGTTAATAAATAATTTATGTTAACTTAATGATAATCTATTTAAGCTTAATACTACTTTTATAACACTAGAGCAATATATTTAAGTGATTCATTATATTTGATATTTGCTTACAGTTTTATAATATAAAGTATTAATTGTTTTGGAAATTATTTGTTTTATATAAAAACTAGAATTTCAAAATATAAAATTTAACAAATATCTTTTAATTTAATTCAAAGTTAAATATATTAATATAAGTAAAAAAACTAACATTAAAATTTTACCTTTATGATTTTATAATTACTGTATAACTGTTATTTAATCTTTGATGATATTAAAAGTATAAAATTATAATTTATATTTAATAAAATCTTATATTTTAATTACTTTATTTTCATAATATTTTTATTTAAACTTGCTTTAATTTTTCAGTATAATTTAGTAAATGAAAAGTATAAAATGCTTGTATATGAAATTCATTAATACTTATATTATTTATTATATTATTGATTTATTTTTATTTTAATGCTTCATTTAGAATTTTATTCAAAATTCTGATGTTTAAAATCCGATTCATTATACTAATATTTTAAAACCTGTAGTTTTATAATTCTAAAATGCCATAATTAATAAATATAATTAATACAATTAATTAAAGTAAAAAACTAAAATAATGTAAATATTTTTTTTCTAATTAATAAAAATTTTATATTAATAAATTTTTAGGATTTTTCATTTTGAATTTATGAAATTTGGGATTATAATATTTTTATGATTATAAATTTATTAGAATTATTATAGTATTCTGTGATTAAAATATTTCAGTTTTAGGATATTAGAATAATAAGCTATTAGGATTATGAGCTTAAGGATTTTGCATAAATTTCTTTCATCTGCATAAAATTCTATTCCTTCAATAATTTTTTTTCAATTTTAAATGAAATTTTACTTCTACTTTGAAGTTAATTTTAAATATATTAAATTAGTTATCAAAACAATAATATTTTTAAATATATTAAATTAGTTATCAAAACAATAATATTTTTACAATATAATTTATAATGTTTTTAAGTAAAAATTAAAATAAAATTACATTAATTAGTAATTATTTGTATTAATTTAAGACAAAATTTTGAAAATTTTCTAATAAAAGTATTTTTTTTATAAATGTTTAAATTTTTAATTTTTAATTTTTTTTTTATATTATTAACAAATATATTTAATTATTAAAAATGTAAAAATAATAGATTTATAACTAAAATTAAAAAAAATTGTAAGTTTTAAAATTATGAAAGAAAATCATTACCATTTAAGGGATAATATCATTAATTTTTTATCAATTTTTTTGCAGTTGGTCTTTTTAATGGATTTCTATCCCATTAAATTTATATAACATTGTGGAGTATATTCAATAATTTCAATACGATCCTTTACAATATCTAAACTAAGTTTTTAATTATGAAAATTATATTTTTTGTTTATGTAGATTATCCTAAAAGTTTAAAGTAAAAAATATTTACACAAAATGAAAATTAAATAGTGTATATTAAATATTACCTTAATATAATATAGGTGATTATTTGTAATTAAATTATGTATTGCGCAATTTGATCAAATTTAATTTATTTTATTAATTAAAAAGTTTTACATAATATTGTATACTAGGAAATGAGCCTTAAAGCAAATCTTCACATTCATTTAGCTCATCCTCATGACATACTGCGAACATCACTGATTATATGCCCCAGATTATTTCTTGATAATGACTTCATCTCACCGTGCCTTTCATGCTTCAGACTTTACAACAGCCCGCTATTTCCTAATTCATCATATTATTGTGAATGACCTTTTCCCATAAGTTGATGTTATTACCAATGTAATTAGTAGTATATCAATTGTATGAAAATGTGCAAATTATTTATAATATATAGATTGCGTAGGATACGAGATGAAAATACCGAAATGACATCACATATAATCTGAATAATCTGCTGATTGAAATAAAAGAATTTCAAGTTGTTTTTTCTTTACTTTCTTCTATTCAATACTTGAGTCCCATCCGTGATGCTAATAAATTCTTGTGAGTAAAAATAGGGTTTAATTAAAAGTCCAGAAGTTAATACATTGCAAAAATTTCAACTATCACTGATATATACCTACTAACTGTTGTCCTATATTTTCCAGCACTTCATTTCAAAACAATTGTTTCGAATAATTCGCTGCGTACTGATCAAATAAACAATGTATTCATTGCAATGACACTTTTAGCGACTGGCAAAAAAAATATAGACCCACAGTCATCAACTCCTCATATAGTTCGTTTGCTATTAAACAGGTTACGAGAAATAGTAAATCATCTGAACATGAATTTTAAATAATCCCTATTTCAAAATGCAAAGAAAGATACATATAATAAATAATAATTTGTAATTAAAGAAAAGTTTATAAAACATCCATTATACCGTTCATGATTATTTTTTTTAATTGATACAGCAACTAACCTATTCAGAGAAAAGAAATAAAAAAATTGATAAAGATTGACGTAATTATAAGATGTCATACAAGAAGCTGTATGACAAAAGTATCAACCATTAATGCAATTAGATAGTCAGTAGTAAAATTACTTACATGTTCTAGATCACTACAATACCTAAGGACCGAGAATTAGAAAAAGAATCTATGATTGCTCCTTATGGTTGAGCAAAATATTTTCTGATTGATTAACGTCACAGTAAATTTTATTGTTCAGAAAACCATGGTACTATCTATTTCAAGGTTTTTGTTGATCGATAAAATGATAATGGTGGTTAATTTTCTGATGTAGGCAATAAGAACATGAGTGAGTAAGAAATTAAAGTTTTTTTTTTTTGATAAATGAGATTAATAGTAAAGCAACCTTTTAATAAATTTTCAAGATAAAAAAGGAATATACATAAGGATCTATTTAATCATAATTGATTAGTATGTACATAACATAAAATTTAATTTAAAAAACGTGCGTTTTGTAGTAAACATACCTCATAATCAAAGTATTATCAAAGCATTATAATAATTATTCATGGAAATATTTCATTCGGAAGAAATTTAAGGCACCATTTAAAATTTAATGCGTAAATGTCTCGAACGGTTTTAATATCACTCTTCTCTCAAAAGTTCGTAAAGATTTTATGGAACTGTTGGAATGTCAGTCCATAACGGCTGGTAACTAAGCTGTTTGAAGGAGCAAATTGTTACGCATTTACTACTTGACCTCAGTAATATGTTTCCATAATACAAAGATAAAAAACTCAGAATTTTAGGTTAACGGTGACCATTTGTTATTTTATATTGTATATAGTACAAGTTTAGTACTTAAAAATAAATACAAAAAAAGGAAGAAAATATACCTTCGGTGTTGAAGCTTTCCGTACGTGAGAAGATGAAGGAAGTAAAGTGTTTTTTACAATAAGGTTTTTAAAGTTTGTTATGACGCAAAGTACCATGATGCTTTCGGTCTCTCCACATATAAAATATACCCTGGTAATCCACTTAATTCAATTGTCTTCATTGTATTATTAACGGCTATTATTTTTGTAAGACCCATAATATTTTAACTTGTTACTTGATTATGACGAAAATCTATTTGTATTTATCGAATCTAATAAAAATTAACGATCCTTTTAAGCTTATATCATTTGCTAAAATTTATATTTAATAAAATTAAATTGACATCAACAATAAATAATTAACATTCAAATGTTAGATTGATGTAGCCAGAAATAAAATTAAAAAAGAGAAATTAATAACGAGTTTAAAGAAACACATACCGCGTATTTATGAAAGGAAACGAAAAAATACTCCTGAAAGTAAATAAAAATCACAAAATGTCTGAAAAACATCACGGAAATATTAAGCCGAGCAAATATATTTTCAAAAATCGAAAAATTTTATTGAATTTTTTTTATAGTATATATAGTATTACGTTTACGTGTATATTATTTGTAACTCACGTGATCACACATTTTATTATTCACCATAAAGTTATTTTTTAACTTGTTCAGTTGATCACTTTGGCAGTATGGGCTAGTTGTCGGGATGATGTGACATCGTGGGATAGGGGCGGGAATCGAGTTTGCGGATCGACTCCTAGCCTAGTCGAAGTGAAGTCAAAAAAAAATTTTTTTTTACGTAATATATATTCATCACGTGATATATTATAAAAAATCTGCAATTGGTTTATCATTTCCATTTATATTTTGATGATAAATACAAATTTTAATTTTTGGTTTATTAGATATTAATCGCATACATAACGTGGTAAAGTCATTAAATTACACTAACTTGGTAATTTATTATGTTTAATTCGTTTTGTCAAATAAATGATAACGAAATTACATTTATTAAAATATTCATTAAAAATTGCTTGAGTAATATATATTCTTCTGTTGTTTCTTCCTAGTTATGATTATTATTTATTTCTTGTTAATTGTTGGATTGCTTCTTGCTAATATTTATTTATATTGATTTTGTATTTTGTAACATTTGCGAGCGCGTGAATTATATAAAGTTTTAGTTTTATTTTACGATGAAAATGCTTTAAAATATTGTTGGTGACAATTTAATTTTTTAATTTTATAAATATTAATTTAACATAATAAAAGATACAAGAGATGTTAAGATAAAAATTTTAAATAAAAAAAAGTAAATGATAGTAATGATATAAAGAATAAAGAATAAAATTAAGAAATAAAATATGTAATAGTTATTTACCACGAAATCAGAGAGATCATCAGATCGTCGATTGAGCGGTAAAAAACTAATTTATGATAAAAAATGATTTTATAATAAATATATGTGTTACTAACTTTACTTTATCAATAAATAAACTTTTAAAAATTAATACGAAATCATATAAAAATAAACAATTATAACCGTCCGTTAGCTTTTAAATAATATTTACAACCCAACTCCACTCCAATGTATTATTGACTAGAAAAGCAATTTTAATTACAAAAAATAATTTAAATGCTCAAAATAAAAAGCAACGAAAAATGCTAGAATATTTTGAAAATCTTCGAAAAAATATTACTGATTTTTATCCACAAGAGGAGATATAAAATTCAATTACATTTATTTCAGACTTATTTAAAAATCAAGTGACTGCTACTAAAAAAAGAGTGACTGAATATATAACAATTAAATGATTTAACGAATGTCGTTATCAAAATGACTTGTTATTTTAATGAGAATTATAATAATTGAACGAATATTTTACCGGAAAATTTAACTCCGATTATAAATCCAGTAAAATATCGATGTGTATTATCATATGCGAATGATTAGTAAACGGGGAATATTTATTTATAATAATCAGGGGCAGAATAAAAAAACCTTAAATCTCCGGTTTTTAAAGCAATAATTTTCAAGATTTGTTAGAAGTTTTATTTCTATACTGATAATCAACCGAATTTGAAATGTTTCCCTTTTAAAATTTATCTATATCATATGATGCTTGTTATTTTCTACTGTCTTAGATTGGTTTAACTAGTTTGCATTTAACTAAGTTTTTATCTAATTTGTCAAATAACTTTCAGGATTTCGGGCATTATTACAAGACCTATGCCACTTGGAATATTATACAGTATATTACTTATATTATAGTTTCATATATAGTATTCTCTTGAATTGGCTTTAGTTTCTCTCGACTTTCTTTCGAAAAATCTCAAAAATAATTCTATCATTATCACGTTCGGCTTTTCCGAATCCTCCGAATCCTATATAGTTTTCATAAATCACTAAAAAAAAAAAAATATATATATATAAATATTTTTTAAAAATTACAAGATTTTGAATTTAATAACTGCTGACGCATATTGTAAGAATTCATTTGTGGGATTATAAAAGTTTTACAAACACACTGCAAATGCAACGTGCGTTCTTGGAGTTTAAAGTTTTTCAAGAATTCTACACATACAATTTTTGGTAATTTTCCACGTTAAAATTGTGATCAAAGAAACCACTGACACAATTTTAACCCTAAATGTAGAAACGCGATGCTTAATAGTGATTATATAATAAAAAAGTTGTGATTTTAAACTCTCGAAATATCTGCCCATTGGTAGATTTGTTTTTTGGTCGTTGTTAAATCCTCTCATGAGTAATTAAAAAATTGCGAAGTTGTAAAATAGTAATTAGTTTGAAGGCTATATAATGAGATAGCTAAATATTGTGAATTATTATTTCTTTAGGAAGAATATCAATTAAGTTTCAAGGATGCCCAATTTTCTTGATTATTTAACTAAATTAAAAGTAAAATTTAGCGAAAGAAAGGAAATTTAGCTATGATTCTGTTTCTAGAACAATCAATCTTAAAACTGCTAAGAGAACATAATTATAATGATCGTTAATATTATTATTGCTCTATTCAAACTGAATTATTTAAACAAAAATGCAAATTGAATTATTATTTTATATATCAATACCTTGATCCAATTATAACGTTCAATATTTTGACTGAAATCCTAATTTGTTTTTAATTAACATGAATTTCTGGCATACAATTGATTCCTTGTACTAACTTTTGTGTGGTTATTTATCACGATCAAATCATAAATGAGTATAAAATAAGGTTGTGAATTTAGAATAATTTATTATAATCTATCCGGGACTATTACATAAATATTGAAATAATGAAAATATAATAAACTAAATAATAAGATAAATAATTGATAAAGGCTTCAAATAGGCGGAATACTGCGTTAACCAGTCACAGTTTTTTTACAAGTTGTGTCGAGATATTCTTAAAGTTCTTCTAAAAATATTAACGCTAAAGGAATATAAATCAATCTTGATAAACTATATATTATTGAAGATAATTTATCGAAATAGTGATGATGAACTACAAACTAACCATTTGTAATTCTTTATACCCCAAACTTACAATTGCAAATATAATAAATTCAAAATAGAATCGAAATGATAATTACGATTTCCTTAAAATCACTTACATGGGTTTAAATAAATATAGAATTAAATATACGGTCATTTATATTCAATTAAATATAATAACAGTTCATTGATATTTGTGGCAAATGACTATAGAAATAATAAACCAAATTCCAAATTCGTTAAATAGAGTTACTTTGATTTCAACATTCATTCATACTATACCGTATGCATTTCCCAACCTATTCAATTTATATTTATATTTTTTAAGTTATTTTGATCAATATCCTACTTACTGAAATTAAATACCAGTCACTTGAATCATTTAGATATACTTTGCTAAATTATTGTACGAGGTTACGGAATGGGATGGGATTGGTAGCAAATATATCCTCAACAGATACAAACATAGCAGAAAGCGTTCAAAAATTATATTCTTATGTTATTTTTATTATTTCTAACAATAAAAATTTTAAATTTATATCGTTATAACGAAATTCATTAACCTTATCAAAAATGCATCTTTATTAACTCTTCTTACGTGGGGAAGGATGATTGTTTCATTCAAAGGGTATATTATAAAATATTTAGTTATGTGATTATAGTAGAGGTCGGAACCGGATGTATCAGCCCGGATTTGAATTCGGTTCTAACCGGTTTTCTATAAATCCGTTTTAATTCGGTTTTCGGTTTTGAAACCGGTTTGCGTTTAAACCGGGTGCCCGAATCGATTTGATCCGGTTTGAAACGATTTTTGCGCAAAAAATTCTCGTGATATTTTTAATTATAGAATTAAATAAATTGTTTAATAACGCAAAAATTGTGTAAATTTTATTAATGTATAACTTTATAGTGTAGCAATGCGGCATACATATACTAGACTTACAAAAAAAATTAAAATTAATACTAAAAAGTAAAACTAAAATTAAAATTAAACTAAAAAGTAAAAACTAAAAATTAAAACTAAACTAAATTAAATCTACAAAACTGATGAAGCAAATATATCAAAATACTCACTATTCTGCTTTAAGAATAACATTTGGTTCACCAATTCTGGAGATAGTCGAGTCCGCCTAGCAGAAATGTGATTACCCTCACTAGGGACCGATGTTGCAGTTATAAATAAATATTTCTTGCAATTTGAGCCAAAATTGTTAAAGTGGTATTATTAACTGTCCACCATTTTAATAGATCATCTTTCAACCCAATTTGTTTTTTTCGCAAATAAAGCACCAATTCATCTTCATCTTCTTCTTTCGTATTTCTTGTATTACCTTTTAATACTTTAAAAATATCATTGTCATCATCTGAAGAAAGTGAATCACTATCACTAATTATGGGTGGAAGATCACTTTTTGCATTATTGTACAATTCTCGAACTAATTTTTCAGCTTCATCTTTACTATGACCCTTACACCAATCAAAGGTTTTAAAACGCGGATCCAGGAATGTTGCAATAAGTGCAATATTAGATGGAACTAACCAAAGTTCATCTAAAGACAAAAAAATGGCTGCACGAACTTTTGCAGCAAACCTTCAGTATTCACTAGTTGCAAGTATTACACAGTGTTCATAACATTTACATCACGTTCAGTTGAATGAAATGTACCTCTTCCATAGCCCCTCGCTCCCGACCTCGTCCTTGACCTTGCTCTCGAACTTGACCTTAAACTTGACCTTGTATATTTCCGCGTCTTTGTTGATGAAATTGACGATGTGAATACTGCCAATATTGTCTTGATCCAACTGATAGAATATAATCATCATCACTAGCCATATCAGAATCCTCATCTTCACAATCAGAACCATAGATTAGATTAAGATAGGTATCGAAAGTTTCATGATTCTGCTCGTTTGGGGCAAAATAATTTTTGAGTATATGCATATATGGAACAAGAAGACTTAATGTTGGATATGTTGCAACACCAATTTTGCGTGTTATAGTTTCAAATGGCTCTAATGTGATAATCATTTGTTGAAGGAATCTATTGTTAAAAGTACATAAATGAAAAATATTTGTATTTTTTTAATATTATTTTTCTAGATTTTTTTTTAAAATTTAAAAAATCAGAAATTAAAAAAAATTTAAATAAGAATAATAATAAACAAAACTTACGTCCTCTCATCTGGATTTAAACATAACCGTTCTAATTTTTTACCTTCTTTTTGAGATGCTCGGTCAGAATTTAAAAGTAAATCTGTAGATAAGATTCTCATAGTGTTATGTAATTCAAGAACTCGCTTCCATGCATAGTATGTAGAGTTCCATCTGGTTTTGATATCTGTCAAAACATCAAGTAGGTTCACATATTCATTTTGGGAATTCTGTTGTGCTTTGTAAAGTCTTTCTGCCTGCTTAGGTAAGCGAAAAAAAGCTTGTAAACTTTTTATTCGATAATAAAATGCCTTACATTGCTTTAATCCTTCCAATACCGAAAGTTGTAAAATATGCGCAATGCAGGGCTGGCATTGAATTTGAACAAAATGGTTTTCTCCTAACAAACGAACTGCTTTTACCATGTTTGCACCATTATCAGTTGCCACTGTAAAAGCTGATAAAGTCAGATACCACTCTTCTAATATTTGAAATAATTCATCACTAATAACTTCACCAGTATAGATGGTTACATGTTAACAGAACTTCTCGAAATTCAAAATCTGAAGCTAGCCATGTTGCAGTTACACCCAGATAACCATGCCGAGATTTGGCAGTCCAAAGATCAGTTGTTAAGTGTACAGCTGTCATTGTACTTCTTAATAAGGACCGAAGCTGCTCTTTGCTCCATGTTTATGCTAATGGAGTATCCTCTTAACAGTTTTTTCACAAGGAATTTTATAACCTGGCTCACATGTTAATAAAAGATCTCGAAAAGTATGGTTTTGAAGAATATACTGAGGTTGAACATTTTTGATAACCTTCTGAGTAATTACTTCTTGTCGTTTATGAGAGAATCAACGTCTGTTGTTTGTTGTCGATCAACATGTGGCTATTGAATAAACATGAATGCATAACTCAAAAAATGGTAATTTGTTGATCCTTATAAAAAAATTAAAAATTAATCATTCATCCAGAAATTCTAAATAATTGTCCCTAGTTATATCATGTTATCCCTTAAATGCGCTATAAGATTAGTTGTATTTCCACCCTTTCGACTATAGCTATAAGCAGTTTTGTTTGTTCCTTCAAAATTTATTTCACAAATTTTACAATAGGCAATATTAAGATCATCAGCTTCTATTCGAAAAAAAAAGGATGTGTGGCTTTGGTTGGTGCGAGTTGAGGGAGTTTGACGTTGGTTTTTTTTTGTGGTGTCAATATCATCAATAGGTTCTGTTTCAGAATCTGATGATATAGTAGAACGTGAAAATGATAAGCTTGCCATGTTTTGATAATAAAAAAGAAAGTGAGTTTCTTAAATTTTAAGAACAGAAAACGAGGAGTTTAAGACTTAAATGCAAACAAGAAACCAAATACGAATTATTTTCATGTGAATATTTCTAAATTTGATAAAATTATAAAGTATAGAACCGGGTGCGCAAATCGGTTATAAACGGGTCAAACCGATTATTGTCGAAACCGGTTTTCAAAAATGGAACTGGTTCTAACCTCTAGATTATAGAGGTACAGTCTCTTTTAGTCACGCTATTATACTCACAACAACTTTATAATTACAATATCTAACAGTACAATATTTTTGATATTACTAGATGAAAACAAATAACTTATAATTAATATTATATGGAGCAAATGCTGAGAAAATGGACATATTTAAATTAATTTATTATTATAAAAAACCTAATATACAGCGTTATTTAAAAAAATACAATGAAATCAATGTCTAAATAATGAAAAATTTTTCAATTTCACATTAACTCATGAATAATGATAGAATTCAAACGTAATAATGAAATGTTTTCTGCAAACGTCAATATTTTGAAATTCATTAAAAGGAGCTTAAATTATGATATATATGAATGCCATTTTTAAAAACATGCAAAGTTACCTGATTATTTTCAAAGATTAATGCTTTTTCTGTTATTAGAATAATTCTCAAAGATGTGCTTTGGGCAAATAAGCGATTTTGAAATGAAGTAGACGTTGTCTAATTGAATACACTAATGTAATGTTAAAACTATAGGTTCATTTCGTTAATTTTTTTAATATTAAATTTTACCAATTTTTTCATATATCCTTTTCAGCTTTTTCTGCAAGCTCATGAAGATTCATTTTCAGTTGTAATTGGAATCGATTCAGAAAATTCCAAAATAATTTCCAATAACGGCTAAGTGTCATAATAAATCTAAATAGATTTGATTCTTGATTTCGCTCCCTATGAAAGAAATCTTAAAATAATGGCATTGAATTTGATTAAATATTTCACGTCAAAATGACCAAGGTTATTGTTAATTAATTCAGGTAGGTTATTAGTCAATTGTTTAGATTTTGATTTTGTTCAAAAGTTTGAGCATTATTACATGAATCATATGCAAAAAAAGTTCATTTCATAATATTATAAAAATTCAGATACATAATTATTATTTGAAAGTTTATTGGAAATAACTTTCATAATAATCACTTCAGTGCATGTTGATTATTTTTTATATGTTTTCCCAAATATTTTCAAAATAAGTACTCATTGAAGTCTTCCAATTGTCATGTAAATTGTCAAATATAAATATAAAAAGAAAATCTTATTTAGAAATGACAGCTTTCAATAAAATATAATAACTTTGCATTGATTAATCTTATCTTATTATGACTCATTTACAAAAATAAATGATCTGAATTTTAAAAATTATATTTCATCATAAAGTTTTTATGTGATGTGCTTATACCCTACCCTGATTTCACTTGCACTTGCATTTTTTTCAGAATAGCAGCGAAATATCTGAAAAAATTAGCAACGAATTTGCTATTGTGTACCAAACCCGTCTGTGTCGGTTGTTTAAGGCGTATTCAAATGAGTCACGGTGCTGGCAAGATATTAACGAATTTGATATAAGCAGAAATGAGCAGTAGAAGCACAGGAACTAGAAACACGAAATGTACGAGAGGAGTTAGTGGAAACAGAAGAAGCAGGATGTAAAATAGAGCATAGGAGCTCGTCTTATTTACATAAAATTGAATTGTTTGTTTTGTAAATTAAAATATTTGCATGCATATTTATTATTTTTTTTGATATAAAGGTAAGCTGCCTCGATGTTGGCGTTCTAAAAGTTCCGTCATGATTACAATAACTTCGCAGAAATTATTTGAACTAGAATCTTTGAAAAGCTATATTAACAGTCGTTTTTTTCCTGAAAGAATCCCATAATTTTACATCTTAAATTCATCAATAGATGTAACCAAATTAACTCCCTTTAAATAAAGAAATAATAAATATACATATAATTTCATGATAAAGAGCATCAAAGAGATTGCAAATGTTGCACAAGATTGATCTCTAGTTGATATTGGAGTTATTCTTTATAATCCTTCCTTATTCACATTAAAATAAAAGGGGAAATTTCTTACTTTTATTTAGAAATTAAATAATGTATAGTCTATAATGTATAAAAAAGTTATCATCGTTATTAACACTTCCCTTAACATCATGATTATAATTTATATTCTCTTAAAAAAACGTTTAATAAAAATCCTCAAATGATCAATGACGTATTTATAAATTGGCCAATTGTATTTGATAATGACAACATCAATTGAAAATACAATAAACTAACCCTTGTTGAAAGATCAGCTAGAAACAAATTGCATTGTTACATCGTCCTTATTATCTATATTAATAAGTTTCATGCTTCATAAAATTCTGGATTATTAAATTATAATGCTTGAAACTGAATTTGGGTATAAATAAATAAATACAACAATAAAATAAATTAATCAGATATTTTGTACATGTGCCTGATTAATCACGTATCACGTTACTTGTCAATACGCTTTTTTTAAAAAAAAATAAGACTTCAGAAAAGATCATGATTTCTATGATAATCGTCGCAGTACTGCGGTAAAATTTCGGCGTAGACTTTTCTAGTTTAATAACGATCTTGTTTATTAATTTCTTTAAAAAAGAATATGATGAATATTATGAAATTTTAAAATAGAAACTTCATTTAACTCAAAAAAATCCAGCAAATAAATCAAACAACAGCGTAATTAACGCAAATTTATGTTTTCTACATCTTTCTAAATTTTTTTTTAATAAGGAAAAAAAAAGCCACTTTATCTCATTTTTGTTAACAAATATTTGCATTTAATATAAATTTTAACATATTTCGTATTTCTTTAACCCATACTACATAGCGTTGATTGAAAGTCTTATTCTTCTTAATAGTCCTCTTTTTTTTAAACTTTGTAAATTGATCAATTGTCCAACTTTTATATTTGTGATCTTTTTGCTAACATAATAAGGAGATT